AACACTTCTCAGTCTGACTTCAAACTTTGGCTCTGAGAATACATCCCAATCTCCAACTGAAGAGACAAATGTTCTCAGTGAAACTGCAGGAGTCAGTGGAGTCACAGATACAGACAAGAGTTTATGCACAGACCTGAGTGAGGGAGTTGAATGTGCAAATAATGACCCATCGATAGAGGAGAATATGACCACAAAACACCACACATCCACAAAGAGTCTGTGTGCTGCTGCAGACGAGAGCGATGAACATGGACAATCTGATGAGAAACTTGCCCAAGAGATTCTTAGAAAGGTGGCGGTCGAGGTCAAATTTGAGCGAAACGACGTCTCATCAGACAAGCTCCATCCACTCGATTGTTTGACTCCGCCTCCTCTCACTCCTCGCGGCATAAGTCCTGATCTGAAGGCCTTACTTGACGATGACACTATATTCTCACAACTGTTTCCAAGAGACGAAGAGGCAAAAAGGAAAAAGTGCACGCGAGTTTATGGGAAAAGAAATAAAAGACAGAAGCTTTTATCTGATTTGGATGTTACTCGGGACTGCACCCCTCCACCAGAAACACACAATACAACCCCTCACTTGGAGAGCCAAACAGAGAAGACGCTCAGTGACAATCGCACAGCCCCATGTGAATATGAGACAATATCTATTGATGACACCATCATGTTAAACATGTGTCACAACAGTGCGCTCAAAGTCCCTGATGTAAAGGCAATGTCTGATGGTCAACAAAATGATCAAGAAGACCTCCAAAACAACCCTTTGAATCAATTTCAAAGCACTGTTGCTCAAGCTACAGTTGAGTGGAGTTGCTCTCAGGATTTCGGTGTCCTGAACGCAGACTCCACGGTGGCCTCTGAGCCAATGACCAATCAAGCAGAGGCGTCAAACCCAGCTTGCTCTCTGCCCCTCCAGGACAATGCTTACACCGCAGAGCAATGTGTCACAGAGAGTGCTCATAATCTCCACATTGATATTCAAAACATCAGCACGACCTTTCAGCTACCTGAAATTCAGTTCTTTGACTCTAGCAAAGATGTCTCTGTGGCTCCCCCGGCTGTATGTGCCGACATGGAGAACAATGACGAAAAATCTAAAAAGCTAATGGAACGGCGAGGTCGAAAGCGGCAAGAAGGTGGTACAAAGGTTAAAGATAAGCAGTACAAGTGCAAAGTTTGCTTCACGTGGTTTCTCACTCTTGGCGAGCTCAACTTTCACAAGTTGTCCCACAATCCGTCACCTCCGCCCACCTGCTACATGTGTGTCCAACGCAAGTTCAGCTCCAGGGAGCAGTTGCGAGACCATCTGTGGGAGAAGCATGCAAAGAACAAAACTGGCATTTGGACCTGCGGAATGTGCTTGAAGGAGATCTCGGATGTGTGGATGTACAATGAGCATTTACGAGAGCATGCCACTCAGTTTGCTCGCCGGGGTCAGACTCAGGGCTCCATGTTGACCATTCCAGGCTGCTTCATGCAGGAAACCGCCGTGAAGAACTTCATCACCTCCATAATGCAGCATCGGCCCAGCAAAGCCAACAAAGAGACCAGCAAAGCCACTAAAGAACAAGAAAAGACAGTTGTTGCAAACGGCAACTTGGAGGCAAGCAAAACCTCAGACGGGGCTGAGCGAAAGCTCAGCAAATCTAGAGGCAGCAGTGGTGGAGGAGGCAGCAACAAGAACACACTGACCCCACTTGAGGTCCTTCACAAAACGGAAGCCCCAAAAAATGTGGAGATGCATCCCAATTGCAAGGATCCCTCCAGAGACTGCCACCACTGTGGGAAGCGGTTCCCTAAACCCTTCAAACTTCAGCGACACCTGGTGGTTCACAATTTGGAGAAGATTTTCCTGTGTCACAAATGTCCCGTCTCATATCAAGAGGCCCACGACCTCAAAGAGCATCTGAAGATTGCACACAAGGAAGCGGACGAGGTGGACTTCAAACACACCACCCTCTACACCTGTGAGCTGTGTGCTGATGTCATGCATGTGATTAAAAAGTCTTTCATCTGTAGCACCTGCAACTACACCTTCTCGAAAAAGGAGCAGTTTGATCGCCACATGGAAAAACACCTGTCAGGGGGGAACAAAATCTTCAAGTTCCGAGGTGTTCACAGGCCCATCAAAGCATCTCTGTGCAGGGAAGATGAATGCGATTCCCCTGCAAGTAAAAAGAGAAGGATTCTCTCCGACAGTATGCAGGAGAATAGCACCGACAGTGGCATTGCCAGTGTGGGCTCGCTGCACCTAAATCAAGCCTCGGAAACACAGATTCCTAAAGCGGCTCTGCCCATGCTCGAAGCGACTGTGCCCATGCTGGATGACTCCACACAGACCACCACGAATGACTACCACAGTGACACAAACAGCACAAATGTGAAAACTGAGGACATTGCTGAGGATTACTCCGATCTCCTGGTAGAGCTGGAGAAATGTATTTCGTTGGGCTCCACGTCTGCTGCCCCCAAGGAAGAGGAAATTGACGCAACGTCCGCAACTAATCTTCACCAAGGAGTTAATGGAGAATCGACAACCGAACCATGTGACGTGAAAGAGGAGAGTGAGTCTGTGTGCATTCGAGTGGAGACCCCCCAGTGGTCAGCTTGTCAAGAGAGAAGTAGTGAAAGGGAGGAGACCACTCTATTGAATGACATTTCGCCTTACGGTGACACAGAAACAAATGATTCACTTCCCACAACTAAAGACTCTCTCAGCATCCTGAGAGAACAGCAGGTCACTGCAAAGATACCCGAGTCGCTGCTCGCAGCTGACGTGATGGCCGAGAATTCTCCACCCAGAGCTGTCAGCGAACAACAAGCTTCATTTAATGGGGCCGAACAGAAGGACAAACTCAGAGCAAGTGAAAACTCTAAACCCAGCATGAAGGCTACAGAATCAACGCAGGTCTGCCAATCCAAGGCTTCGGCCACATCCTCAGCATCCAATGAGGAGAAAGAACCCCAGAGGTCACAGAAGAAGAGGAAGGACGTCAAATCGCCTAACAGCATGCAGAGAGTTTCCTTCCCGGCAACTCAGGAGAACTTTGGGATGGACTCAAAGGTCAAAAAGAAGTACCACGCCAGCAAGTATTTGAACCCCTCCACGCAAAGAAAATTTGACAGCACCAACGACTACCCTGTTCTAGCTTCAGTGCGGGATGATGTTGTGAGCAACAAGATAGTATCCAAGTGCAAGGCATCAACCTTGGGCTTGCAGTTGAAACGAAGTTTGCTTGATAGCTGTACACCAAAGAAAGCTGACATTGCGGCCCCTCATAACGGGGATTACAAAAACAAAAAAGGAGCTGTGGGGAGGCCCCTGCACACCTCCATTTCTCGAGTGTCTTCTGTCCCCATGAACAATTCCTTGAACAAGTCCAGGACGAAGCAGGGGGTTAGGTCAATAGAGAGCCACTCCTACAGGACAGCAGAGTCCCAAAACCACCTCCTAAGCCAGCTGTTTGGCCAGAAACTCACAAGCTTTAAGATTCCTTTAAGGAAGGACACGTCCGAATCTATTAACTGAGCGGACATTGAGGGACCTGTGAATTAAAAACTTTTTTTTAAATTTCACAGTTCTTAAGATTTTATACTTAATTCATGATGGTGAATGAGATTGCACAGCTCTTTTCTGTGAAATGCTATCTTTAATACATAGTCACTTTATGTCTTTTTTGTACATGCGCTTGTATCACACGAATGTGAGGACAAATGCCAGATATATATATATATATATATATA